CTTTGGTATTTCAAGGAATACTATAATTTCATGTAGAATAAGTGGTTGGAATATATATTGTATCCTGTTTGAAAAGCTAATATAGATCAGCCAAAATCAAGGGCGACTATGCTGGCTTGTGCTGAACATCTTAAGAAATTCTGCCATGGCTCAGAGAAAGGAAATACTTCTAAAATACATAATTACTTTAAGGTCTCGGGGTTATTGCACATTTCTTTTTACAGGATTTTACAGGGTTTATCTAGGTTCAGCTCCGAGGTCCAAAGATCCCACGGGAGCTGCTCAATGTGATGCTCCTGCCTTGGTCGACACCACAGATCGTTTTGCGTTTTTTTAAACACAGCAGCTCACTTCCAGGTTTTCTAGTCTTTTCATAAAATCTCTATAAATATTTTCCAAATTTTTCATAAATTGAATCAATCTGTTATACAGTAATATAAAATCCGCAGAATAATCTCTTTACTAAAACTGGATTTAACACAAACAGAAAGAAATACCGCTGAAATAAATCTCCATAGGCTATTCAGCTGTCTCTTTTATTTTTTTTTATGCTTTGATTACTTATGTCTGTACTTTTGAGATGCCTGTATACTTTACATTTCACTGAGCAGTTAACAAGCTGTCCCATCCATTCATTTCTCTGAAGTATATTTCTTAGCTTTATCTTAAAGATTTAAACTCCCTTATTGTTTTTTCATTCTTTGTCTTACTTAATACCCAATGCTGCATTTGAAACTATTTTGCCTATTTGCTAAACAGGACAGGGATAGCAATAAGTATCTTTCAACATTTCCCCTTTTTTTTTTAATAACTGCCTCTCTGATTAATGGCCAACTGCACATTTCTGTCGTGTTTTAAACCCAGTCAGCAACTAAATACCACACAGCCACTCGCTCACTTCCCTTGTACCATGAGTGAACTGTCACACTGAATTGAAAAGATTCATTTATACACGTCAGCAAGGTTTGCATTGTGTAAAGCAGGGACACTATTAGCTCCCCTAGAATTTTTCAGTGTTTTAATAGCTGAGAGGCTGCCTCAAACCAACTTGATACATTTTCTCTGGGACTTGAAAATCCAATTTTTGTACCACATTCAAATCACAAATAAATATTAGTAATTAAAAAAATTCATAAATTCATGGTCCTGGTCAGAAGTACTAACTTTTTAAAATATCACTGTGAGCTATTCTATGTCATTTTCCATCAGCAGAAAGCATCAATGTGGCAAACTGCCATAAAGAAGCTCATTTAAACCATGGCATGTGTGTGCAATTGGACAACATTTTTGAAATTTCATATTCTCTGTCTGTTATGCTTAATGTTTTCCTCTGAAATTACACAAAAAATCTCCTTATTTCCTGATAAAATTACCATTTTGCCTCACAGTTAAAGTTCTGCAAGAGAATAACTTGTTAAAACATAGGAGTACATCCTAAAGTATGACCCCTGAAATTGAATTACCTGCAAATGCTGAAATTGAGTTTTCAATGTGCAATGAATAATAAGATTCAGATGCCTGATTTAGGGTGTTCTCTCTATTGACAAAATATGCTGCAAACCTGAAAAGGCTATCAGGAGTATGATGATAGGAACAAAAAGAATCATTAGTTCACCCACAATCATTCCAAGCTGAATGACAAGTTAATACACTTGAAAGAACAGGCAAAACAAGAAAATCTTGGAATTAATTAGGATGAAAGAACTTGAAATATAGAAAGGTTGCTTGTATCAAAATTGAAACAAAAGTGGCATGAGGCCTCAGGCATCTATTTCAGTTAAGAGAAAATGTTTTTTATTAGAACAGGATGAATTTCAAAATATTGGCTAGGACACTATCCAGTTTTAACTAAGGTTATAACTGTGTAATATGGAAAAGATGTGTGAATAAAGATAACAATAGAAACAGAAAGCAGGAATACCTGAAGAATCCATTGAAATCCCCCAAACTAGGAAGTGGCAGACATGACACACTGATAATTCATGCCTAACCAACATTTCATTCTATGCCCAAGAGTTTGAAATGTAACTACAATATTTTGCAGTAATGATGCACAGGTGAGACTAACCTCCACCTGAGGACCCTTTGTCTATGCCTTGTCACTGCCGCAGCTACACTGTTCATTAGTGAAGGACATGTTTCTTCTCTCCCACCAGTTTTCAGGAACAGTTTCACCGAGAAGACTTTCCAAGACAGCCAAACAGCAAACTCCAGCCCACAGAGATACACATATTTCTGTAGGAGGCACCTTCTGCAGAACATCAGGCTGAGGTGGTTGGCAATATTTGGCAATCACAGCCCGGGATGTTTGTGGTGCTTTGCAGCCTCTGTCCAGGTTAAGCACCACATGCTGTTCCATGCCTGCTCCTCTACACAAGGAACTTTCTGAATCTACATTTATGCAGGTCTGAACTACAATCAGGTTTGCCAGAAAAATCATTTGACAGCTTATCTGTGGTTAAACTGAGGCACCATCAGAATTTAAAACCTAAAAGGAAAGACCTGCTTTAAGAGACAAACACATTTATCGTCGTCATTGCTTGGAATACAATAACATTTGATACCTTGTCTAGTGACAAGGGAAAGCACTACTGAGACTGACAATTCACAGGAGGTAAAAAAGGGCCAAGAACAGCATTTTTCAAGCCATTTGTCTTGGTGATATTATAACACTGTTCAAAGATAAAACAAAAATACTGCGGATTGGCAGAGATACTGACAACAGGAGAGTAGCAGACTCAGGAGACAACTCAGAACTAATTTTTCTAGCACAAGCACTAGCATCTATTCTCTAGCCCCTTAGCTCTACTTGAGTCAATGCCAAGTTTGCATAGTCTTCAAATCTTGTCATCAAAATCACTGGTATCAGAACTGCTGAAAAAAAAATGTATTCAAGCAAAAGTCTTGGATTGTAAATATTCATTGTAAACTAATCTTCTATTTCTTTGAAACTGAAATGCTTTCTCCATTATCAATATTTGAGATTGTGTCCTACCACCTGTGAAAAATTTCTAACACATTCCTCCACAACCATACACAACAGGAGCCCTGTCCAGACAGGCACATTTTTGTAACATGTGACTTCAGCCATGTGTTACTGTAGAACAGAATTGGTTATAATTTCCCATCTGGAAAGACTTGGCAGTCTAGACACACACAAGCTAGAGGCATTGCCAGTTTTGGCATGATCACAATCATCAATCAGAATTGATTTGAAATCTATAGAAAAGTCATCTTCACAGATTCTCAGAGAAAGTTGCTAGTTGCTCAAAGATACGCACAGGTGCAAAAGCCATCACAAAGAAATGGCATGGGGTGAAAGAATGTCTCTGGCTCTGTACACAGCCAGACTATCAGTTGACTTTGTGTAAAACTACAGTATCATTTTCAGAAAAGATTGTTGGACCAAGTCAGAAAATCGCTGAAAGAATGTTTTGTCACATACATCTGCCATCTTCTCCTGGACTACAAAGACCTCAAATTTGACATAACAATCAACAACCTTTAAGCCTTAAAAAGATGACACGCATTTAGTTCCTGAAGCACCTTTTAAAGGCAGTTCAGCATACCATGACAAACAATGGGTTCTCTATGTTAAAAAGGACACTGAAGTACTCAATTACAGACTGCATCTCCTCAATTAAGTTCTACTGTTATGAGAATCTCAAGGAAGAAAAACTGTATTCTCTATGTCATTTGCATGCTATGAAACCACTGATCCTGCTCTTCAGGAGAAAAGACTTCTATTAGTCTTTCTTCTTCAGTTCCTGCCAGGGGGAACAGTTAAACAGAAAATCTAATTTCCTTTTTTGAAAGTTACATAGATATTTTTTATTAAATGCACTTATATTTTGCAATTTAAAATTAAAACCATCTTCCTTCACAGACCTGTACTTTGAGAATCTCTTCACATGCCTGTGAAGGAAAACTAGCCATCATACTAGTATGATGGATGCAATAAATCCCATCCACTTTTACAAAGATTTTCATACTAACATATAACTCTGAAACTCATAGTAATTTTATTTTCAGAGTAGCCTCAGATGTGGCAGTCTCAATATGTATTTACTAATGTTTTCCTTGTAAGAACCTATTCATGTGGTAGAGATCCTACATAATTAAATTCTTTCCTCAAATATCAGTTACAAATGCAACTGCAGCACAGGAACTTCACCGTTAATTGCACAGGAATACTCTGTTTCCTCAACAGAGCAACTGTCACCATGATTTCAGAGTCCCCTTGTTAGAGCCCTCATACCTGAAATGCATCTCCCTGTATCTCTCACCTATTATTCTTAGGACATCACAGACAAAGTGTGGCTATGTTGTCTTACCTTTTTCAGGTCCCTTCTGCTATCCTCAAGAGCAAACAGATGGCAAACCATGATGAGTAGGATCTACCCACAGAGAAATCCAAAGGAGAACAAAGAACTACTCACTTTACAGACACTGCTTCTCTTTGAGCTGTTCTGTGCATGAAGATGTTGCTTACCTCACACTTCCACTGGCAGAGTACAGCTCTGGTCTTACCTGAGCTTTGAATGGCAGCTGGGAGCACATTGTTCTTTGTGATTCATAAAGTAAAAGCAGACTTATCTGTGGCCCTTCATGAATGTAAAAATTGCTCCTGGCTTCTATACAAAAGGTACAGGAATACACATCCCAACCCACATGTAAGAGCTTGAAGAACAAATTTCCTGTGCTGTTTCCTTGCTTTTCACAATCCCTAAGTGAGCTATTTGCTTTGTTTATTTCAAACAGATATTACTTATATCTATAGAAAGAGAAAAATAATATTTTTCAGTACAGTGTTCCTCATAGCACTTAAAACACATTACAGAGGCTCATATGAACAAATAGGAACACAGTGACAAATGCAAAAGACTTCAGAATAACATTTCAATGAAAGACCAGTAAGTACATCTAACGCTTTGGTAACACACAGCACACACAACCTAGGAAACAGTCTGAAAGAGAAAGAGAAAAAATATTTCCTTTACCTTAGAAGTCCTTAAATCCCACGCTTTAACTTCTGGGCTGAACCCTCCACAAAGGAAAACATTTGACTCTGTAGGGTGGAACTTCAGTGCACTGATCCTAAATTCTGTTTTGCTGCTAAATATCTGCTTCCCTAAAATCAAGTGACAAGCAGAGATTAAAATTTGAGCAAAAAATGAAATATATTATTCATTTCAACTTAGTTTCAAAAATATCAAGATTGCTTAAAGTGAACATACTTTTAATAACACATTTCAAATATCTGTGACTAGTGTAATTTAACAAAAATAAAAGACAACTCACTAATGTCTATCCACTTGAAATTGCTCCTACTCCTGGGCCACTGCACACTGACTGCTTCCTACTGAAAGGAGACAAGAAATTCTTCCCACACTAAGGAGAGCAGATCCACCGAGGTCACAGTTCAGAGAACAGGCAGGAAGAAATCTACAAATCTAATGACTGGTTTCCCTACAGAGAATCCACAGTCTTTTTTACTTTCAGTGAGATAAAAATAACTAGAACAAAACATTGTCTGTACCTAAATACCAAGTCCCAATCTATATTACAACTCTTAAGTTGTTTACTTAACTCTCTGTGAAGGTAGGAGTGAAACTTCATCTTGAAATTAGGAAATAATTCGCAAACCACCATAGGAAGGCAATAGCTGTTCCCATGGATACACTGTTGCCAACATTTAATTGTGTACACTAATCTCCACAGGATCCTGTGGTTAGTATCAATTGGCTTGCCTGCACTTTGGAACACAACAGAATTCAGCTAGGTTAATTTATAGGACTTTTCCATAGTTCGCCGCTTCCTTTCCTCCTAACAAATTCATTATATTACCGTACATTCACTGAAATAAAATTTGTGGAACAGCAGTATGGATCAAGATAAATATATCTGCTCACTTTCACGATAACAACTGTGATTTATATTTTACATATCCCATATGAAGATCTACATTAAATAAAGTTACTGCTGTAAGCAGCAGTGAAGGAGGTACTGCAGAAGTAGAACAAAAAAACCCTTTAAAACACTATGATAAAAGCTTCTTAAAATAGTCTTTAATTTGCATTTTATGCAAGTGAGGGTTATCTTAAAACAGGCTTTTTCAAACAACTGAAAATACTTTCAGCTAAAAACATTACTGACAGATGTAAACTCTTGCAGTTAGGTGTACAACACTGAAAATCATTCACACAGATTTTTTTATACTTATTTCATTCTCTGGGGCCAATTTATTTGATTTCATCATCAATTCCATTTTCCTCATCTGCTGAACTCAGCTTACACAGTCAATAGGCTAAGGCTTATAAAATTACTTATTTATTCAGTTTAAAGAAGAGAAAGGTTTTACTTCATCACACATGCTCATCAAGGGAAAAGAGCCTAAAGGAGGTTCAAGTGCTGTTCTGTGTGAATTCTGGTATTTGTAGGGGATTTTAGTCCTTTTTTCAAATGGCTCTCTACTGATTGCCAGTGCAAGATCTAAAAGGCCTCTCTGCCACCACATTAAGTGAAACACTTAATTTTGTCCATGAGTTCCTTCCCCAAAAGGACAAAAAAGTCATAAGGGCAGCAGAGATTTTCTCCACAAGTCATGTCTGTGGCCATCTCTTGCCATGGGACTTTTCAGAACCCCAACAGCTACAAGGAAAAGACACAACAGGGAAGGAAGTATTAAAATCATCAGTTATAAAAGCAATAAGATATTGTTGTCATGTACACCACTACCAGGCATCATTTGGGAGGGCTTTACAAAAGCCACATACACAGGCGTCCTGCTCTCACCCATAGCACTTAAGAGGCTCACTCCTCAGTTTGATAGCACTTTGCTCCCAAAGGAATTTGTTTCTTACTAGTTCCCAGTCTAATAAAAACCCTGGGAGTATACTCAACAAGTTTTCGATGAGACTGCAGCCAGAAATTAGCAAAAATGCAGACTACCTGTACTAATCCTGTCACACAGCTTTATAAAGGACACATCAAGTGATCACTGTTCTCCATAAACTGTGCTGTCCAAATGGCATTAGACATATCCATAACTGATTCAGTGGAACGCCTCATTTAAGCTTTCAGCAAACACTGGCTTTGCTGTGTGTTTACCTCCATAAGACTTCTCAAAATTGCTTTTTCTATAATAAATACTTCCATTCTCTAGACTAAGACACGAGAAAGTCAGGTAAAACACAGGCAAAAAAGATGTTCATTTAGTTCAAGATGCATTTAATCTACTAAGTACAAGATCTGTTACCTTTTCCACAGACAGGCTGGTTTAACATAATTTTTTATTAATTAGTCAATTTTTCAATCTCATTCCAAACTGTTTCCAAGTAATTTAATCATTTGCCTGATATTTTCTTCAGAAACTAAAATGCTCTAATTCCCTACTTTATCTCCCCCGCTTTGAAAGAGAAATGGGCACTGAATTTGCCCTGGTCTTATCTTCTAGAGGCTGCAATTTATCCAAAAGCTCTCAGTGACAGTCACTAACATAATTAAATCATAATAATCCCAGTGTTATGAATTCTACATTACAGTGTAATAACAAATAAAGTTAATGCAAACAACTTGAGCATCTTACTCACCTCTATACTCATTCTTTTTCCTATTTTAAGCTGCTGCCTTACAATTTGACACAGATATTAACTATTTTTTTTTGCTTAAGTCAGAAACAATCACAATAAACTAATCCTAAAAGCTCAATCTCTTCAATTAACACTTTGAAAGACAGCTCTCTCTCTCGTTGTCTCCCAAAGTGAAATTCAATCAAACATCTCTTTTTGGAAATTGAGTAAACATTGTTCTGAAGACTTTGGTGTTATTAGATGTATACATGAATTCAATTCTACTGCTGTGTCACCGAAAATGAGCCAGACTGGAATGTAGACAGGCTGAACAGCAGCAGTTAAACTCAAAAAGTACTAGAGAAAGGAAACACTCTTATTGTCAGAACTAAAATTTATTCATGATTCACTCAGAAATTTAGGAAAAATATCCATCTGAGAGATGAAACAGGTCAATGCAAAAGATAACATGGGGCATATTAGCTCATGCAATTCAGTAATTTGAGATAATGAACTCAACTCTTTGCTTTTTCTCTACAAACTTTGCTTAGTGTGTTATACTACTATAAGCAGAGTTTATTCTTTCCAGGCTATGATCCTGCTATGATGGAACCATAGCTTGGGAAATCCAGGTTCAGGGTTTGCTATAGATCCTCCTCCACTTTTCTGGAAATAATTTTTTCAGTTACACATCTTTTTCTCTACAATTACTCAGTTTATTAAAATGAAATACTTTGGAGGCATTAATTTATATATTGCAAAAGATGGCCTTTGAGGAGAAAACCCCTTTATCCACAACAGGTATAAGTATGCAGCTTGTATATACCTTTATTGTATATATTTATTTCATTTTAGCTCCTAAAGGCAGCATAACCAACTTATAGACTAGAAAATTAGGTCTTTTGAAAATATCTTTGGCTAACTGAGGGAAAATCCATACCACATATCATTCTCCTTTATAAGAGGTTGTTATTCTAAAGCAGAAATCAAATGTTTCTCTAAATCCTTAATTTTCCCAATTTCAGTAATATCTACTATATCTTTTGCAATTGTGTTTTATGTTCTTTAAAGGCTTTAATTCAATTCTCCAAGCATTAAAGGTTTGTCATTAACATAACAATAACATGCACAACATGGAAAAAATCTTTAAAAATATCTTGAATATATGTTTCTGCTTCTTTATGCAGCAGCCTACAGTGAAACTGCTCAGCTACAAAATCAGATGTTTTAAAGGCTATTTAACATTCTGAATTTTTCACAGAACATCAGCACAGTTACTCAACACAGGATGTTTCTGTAATTCTGTAATCCTCAGGTTCACACACCTACCTGCATAACCCAAAAACATTTACTACCTTACTCTAATCTGTAAAGAAAAGTGAAGCCTGAGACTTACAAGGACACGAGAGCAATCCTGCTTTAACAAAATGGATTTCCCTCTGTGTTTAGAAAAAGACATAAGACAATATATATAAAAATATTTCATTACAGTCACAATCCCTCTCATGCACAACAGTGAGAAAAAGCACTAGATTGATTAGACATCATTTGTTCTTAACAAATCAATGTTTTCTGTTACTTCTCCATTCTTGGTGTGCTTACAAATGGCCTTATTATTTTTTCAAGAGCCAAAGTTATATTGGCTACCCATTTTTCCTAATTTTTGTCCCTACATGCTCACAAGTTCACAGCATGTGAAGATGTTTGAAATATTAAATAATTTTCTCTTTTAACTTTTGAAATGTCCCCAAAATAAATAGTTTTCAGCAAGGCTTTACACTAGTGAGCATAAAAAGTAAAATGCTTTTACCTCCTAGCTGGAGAGTGACCTCTCAATTATGTTCAGCATATTTCATAAAACTGCTGAATCTTGGGGCAAGCCTTTGACCTCACATCTAAGGTGCCTGCATACACTCAACAGAAAAAAAATAAACAAGCAAACAAAACAAAACAAAAAAAATCAATCAACTGGGCTTTTTTCTGTGGTGTCTCATAAAAGCTTTCTGCATATTAAAACATACTCTCTAAATAGAACTGGGAAAGAAAAGGAGGAACAGAGGAATGCCACAGCTTTCCTGGGGTTATGTTTAGGTAAGAGAACTAAAACTCCTATGTGAATAAATATGAGTACATTAAAAATAGTAATGTTATATCTATAGGACTATCAAATTAGAATAGAAAAAAATACATAGAAAAGAAAATTTGAACCATTCTCTTCGTAGGTACAAAATGTTCCATTAAGAAACTCTCTCATTATAATGCTGAGGAAATTATATTTGAAAGCAAGCTCAGTCCATGAACTAAAATACAACTGCAGCATTTGGCAACTTAGGAAATGTGCCAAAATTTCTTGGAACATTCCCTCTGTCATAATATTAAAGAAATGAAAAGTATCTACAATATGCAAATAGTAAAAACCCCAGCCAATGTTCTGCCTATGCTATTATACCAATTCATTTGTGACTAATGAAAAATCTACTGATTAATAAAACATGCATTCCAAAAATAAAACAGTTATAAATAAATTCTAAAAATACAATCACCCTTCCAAAGTTGATAGAGCATCTCCATTGCATCTGGATGTAACAGAAGTTAAATGTCAAACGTATTTGACCTAGAACTGTTTTAAAAGCATTTTTTCAGTGCTCTCTGAATATAGCACTATTTAATACTCTGTGAATAATAATGTGTCTGAACTACCAGTAATAGAAAATGACTGTGTGTTATTAGAGAAAAACAAAACCAGAGAGTCTCAGACTACTGCATTATTATCACATTTGTGAAACCATTCAAAAGGCTTTATTTTTATAAAGAAATAATGTATATAAAATAGGACAATAAAAAAAAATAACCAGTAACAGGCAGCAAATCCACAGGTTTGGATTTACCAATATTCATGAATCTCTGTAGTGCAGTACTAAACTTGCCTGATGCAAACTGCAACTAATCACAGAACCACTCATGTGAATGACTCATGAATAACCCTGAGTTCTTTAAAAATTTACATACATTTTGGGTCTGGCCCACACCAAATGTGTAAAATAGCTTTTAAGAAAACCATATTTGTAGAGAGCTTCACACCCTGGTGTTAAGGAACTAGATGGCCCTTGAAGATAATAAATTATGATCTACAAGAATTGAATCTAAAAAAGACTTGCACAGCAATTTCTCTTATCTCTTACCCAAGCCCAGTAAGAGAACTCTTGTACCTCATTAACTTGAATTCTTCCCTTGTCCTGTTCTTCATCACAGTATCGTGTAGGTTGGACCTCCAGGGATCATCTCCAGGGACCTCCAGGGATTGTCCAAATCCCCACTCAAATCAGGTCCAGCTGCAGCAGATTACTCAAGGGTCTGTCCACTGAAGTTCTGGGTATCTACAAGTATAGGCTCCACAGCTTCTCTGAACATCCTGGTTTAGTATTTGACAACCCCTGAGTTGAGCCAACAAGTTCCTATATTGTTCCTTTGTCTCTTACCCTTTCACTGTACATCTCTGACAAGAGCCTGGTATGGTTTTCTCTACATACCAGGTAAATACTTCCTCATGTGGCCTGGAATGACTTTGGCTTTCTTTGCTTCAAGAGAACACTGCTGATTCATATCAAGCACCAGGATCTCCAGTATTTTTCTATGACGTTCCTTCCTAACCAGTTTAGTATCAGCCTGGTCTGCTGCACAGGATTACTCTATTCTAGATGCTTGCCCTTTTTGAACTTCCTGAGATTCCTATCAGCTCATTTTTAATGCTTGCAGTATCTTACATCTTTTTATATATAAGAGCGTTCATTAAATACACATGACAGGGGAAAGAAGTTTGATGGTGTAAAACTGCAGGATAAGATTCAATGCATGTGTCTTCTAGCCTTACATCAGGATTTTACTGCCAACAACAAAAGTTCTGTTTCATGATTAATGAGATTTCAGTGTTTGCTTCTATTCTGATGTTGTTCAGATCATAAAGATTGGAAAAAAAAACAACACTCCAGAAGATGCAATATGTTAGGACATGGGATATTCACATTCAAGTCCAATCTTAGAAAGAGTATTTCCTGAATAATTTATTCTAGTGCTGTTTGTTAAAAAATTGTTGACACGTTCCTTTGAGAAATATCATAACTAGCCTCCATCAGACCCAGAACAATTAGCCAGACTACAATTTCAATTTAATAGGGCAGAAACTATGTTCCCAACAGAAAACCAACAGAAAATGACAAAAAAACCCCATACAACTCAGCAGCTCAACACCATGTATGTACTAAGTTGTATTTGTAACCTTTTTTAAAATTTTTAAGTCATTCTATATAGACCATTAGGTTTCTTTTAGTGAAGGACATGTAGCAATTTCTATAATACAGATACAATATATAAAACATCTACTGAAAACAAAGACAAGAAAGATTAGATTTTAGGAAGCGACTGGAAAAATGTTGAACCAGAACAAAATATATAAGAGCATAGAGCCTGAAAGAGAGCATTATTATTTATAAAATCCCACTGGCATGCATTTACTACATTTAAACACACTGGTAGTTAGTTCACACTAGCAATGCAAAGTAATTAGGACTGAAGTCCAAAAAAGTATATGAAAGTCCTCTGTGAAGAAACAGTTCTAACATCTATCTGAAGTTAATCAAAGAAATCATCTCAGCACTGATGAAGACTGAGGAGGAATGAATGATTCAGTGAACTAATGTAAATCAAAATCTTATAGATGCCTTAGTGTTTTCAAATGGAAATGAGGCTTTTTATATCAAATTGATTTGGATTCCAGAGGCAAACTGCTTGCCCTGTCTCTCTGAACAGAACTGACTGAAATGTATGAAAAGAGGAGCAACTTTACAACAGGGAAGGAACTCAGAAACTGGCTTGCATACATAGGAAATCAGACTAAAATTCAGATCATTCATATTATGCTTTTCCAAATGAGGTGTGAAAGTCAGGTCCAATCACAACTGCAGTTCAGAGGAACTACAAGGAATTCTGTGTTCTGTAAGGCAGTAATGAATACCTGATATTTCCAAGTATATAAGCATTCATTTTACACATACAATTTATTTAAGCAGCTAGAAACACTACATAAGAACCGTTTATAAATTTATCTGCTTTGAAACTTAGTAAATATAGCTTGCTATTATTGTCATTTCCTAGAGAAGTATAAATGAATACCTGTAATCAACTTACTCCAGACTCCTGTCCTATTACTGGATAGTTAAACCAAAGAGATGTTGGAAATTAAAGGATATTATTTAAATTATGTGTCTTCGGAATTTTTCCTATGATTTTATGAGATTTTTCCCAGAGAAGGGAAAAATTACTCAGACACCCAAAACCTATTCAGCTACTGTAAATCTCATTATGAAGATAGCAATTCTGCTTCAATTTGTAAGCATTACAGACAAAAGTAAATGCACTTCCATTAGTAAGATTCAGTTATATGTGAGACTAGAAAGGTTGCTCTAGAAGTCTAACAAATTAATGACTTGGTATATTAACCTCATATTCTACTACATCAAGTATCTAAAGCTCTTTGCCTCATTAAAAAAGCTGAATATTCTCAAAACATCAGTATTCTGTAACATATTTTACATTCATACACTGCAACAGCTCCCTTCCAGCCATCACTGAATTCAAATACTTCTGGTACGACCATTGTTGAGAAAAATTAATTCCTGATGCATGAAAAAGAACCTTTTCCTCATGTGAACAATAATTTTAAATTTTCTTGGCTGCTTTCCCAGTTCATCTGAATAGGACTTCTGCTTTCCAGATACTCACATACAATGTAGTTCTTGCTTTCACACAAGAGAAAATCCTCCTAGACGAAAGCCGCTTGTAATTTTTGTAAGGATTTCTATTGTAGTCTTACAAAAAATATTGCACCTTTGCAGGAGTTAAACACTTAAAAATAAACTAAGTGGGAAATGTAAAATGTTGCATCTCTTCCCTTGACAAGGTCCCATTTTGGATGTAATTCATACACAGGCAGAGAGATGTCCTATTCTGCACAGCCCCCGTGAATGCTGCTGGATGTTGGTAACACACGTTAAGGAGAGAAGGAATATAGCTGACAGAAGCACTTTAGTTTGTGAAGGAGACATGAGGAGACACAGAATCAAGGAAATTAGTTGTTAAGGTTACAACAATCAAATCCCAAATCAAATTCAAAAATGCATCAAAGCAACACAAGTTCAGTCTCAAGGTTTCATACCAGAATTTAAGTTTCTATACTCCTAATTAAGGTCCTATTCAGAAAAAAGAAAAAATCACCTAATTAACTTCAAGCACAAGCTTCATCCCAAGAGAGAATGAGATACAAGCCTATGTTTAAATTAAATATATGTATAAATGTTACTGAAGTCAGCCTTAAGAGGCTGCTCAAACACTTTAATGAATGACTGTGACAGAGCATAAAAATACACATTTCATTCCATTCATCTGTGTAGCACCTGAAAACAGAAATTACATGTGATTGTGAACAGTGAGGTATTTCCGTTTCTCAAACTTCTCCAGCTACTCTTAATTGCCAAAATGCATTTTTAAACTAAGGTCACATTTCAAGAATTCTAACTTTCATCTAGAGATTTATCTATATTTTAGAAAAAAGAATAAGGCTAGTAATATCCCAAGTTATCTGTACACAATAAAGAAATGGCTATAATACACTCTTCATGGCTTTTACCTGTTTCTACATCAGTTAAATGCAGCATGGAATCAAAGCCCCCACTGAGGATCCTTCTTCCACAGAACGACCACCGGGCAGCCCGAACAGCACAGGAGTGACAGGAGAAGGATTTTAAACAGCAGCCTGTATCTACAGCATCCCATACCTTAAAAAGAAGGATAAGGACACCTTTACAAAGAATCACAGTATTTTTTTTTAAATAATAAGTCACTACAGCAAATCATTTTGGTTGAGAAAGCTTTGCATTCTGAAGTTGTGTCAGCTAAGCTGTAAAAAAATGGTTTGAAATAATTGCATGGTTGATTAGAATTAGGGCATTTTATTAACAAGCAACAAATCAGTAATACGTTTTTATTACTTTTGTTATTTCTTGAAATATCTACATTGCTTTGTATTCATATTATACATTCCCATTCCTAATGCTGTCCTAATCTATGCAGGGATGTATCCAAATACATTTTATCTTTAAATCATTTTTCTTCCAAATTTTTTCTATATCACACTGTGCTTTCCATCAAGTAAGAATAATCCTTGAATATTACAGCTTTCACATCTGCCCATACATGGGCTTTTATCATATTTCTTAGTTTGTAATTTTAAGCAGAATTTTACCTTAACTTCACTGAGGAAGCAGATAAGAATATCATCATGCAGCTACATGGAGATTTTTAAGGACTGGTCTAAGTCTTCTCACTTTTCATTTTCTTCTGGACAGAACTAAGTTGATGCTGAGAATTTCTGAAAATCCCACTAGTTATTCAAATTTTAAGTATATAACAGCTACCATTTTGAGAACATAAATAGTCCTGCTCATGTTTTAAAAGCAATTTTTAAAGCAATTTAATTTTTTGAAATTTTTTATTTCCTGTTTCCAAGTAATATATTTTAGAAAATACAACTCCTTTGAGTTTAGTTACCAAGTACAGTTGACAAAAATTAAAAGCATATCCTTTTCATGGTTCTCTTTTTGTCATAGTTTTAAGATAAAATTAGAAGTTTAGCAACAAATGGCCCAAATAAAAATCCAGTATGATCAGCTCTGTGACAGAAAGCTAAACATCAAAACTATTTTCTTATAAATTTTCTTCTTCAGTAAAACCTGGATTATAAAATATTCTATGGTTGTACAATATAATACCTATTGAGATTAGAATGTGAACAAGGAGAAAAAAGTGAGAGTTTGGGTAATGTATTTTTTATCTTCAATTATATTTTCTTCTTACTGGACAAAAAGGACTTGCTGACAGTATCGTTACATAATGCATACTCAGAAGACAACATTCCATTACAGAAAATTATTTTATAAAAAGTTCTTCTATCATGAAGCACAGTTCTGCAATGCAAAGCAACCAATTATCATTAATTACTTGACTAGCCAGTAAAGACTGAAACTGTGATGGCCATACCCTTAGTATTCTATCCTAATCAAAAGTTTAAAAAATCAGAGAAATTTTAATATTAAACAGCTTTTGAAAGCAAGTTTCTCTCTTTTAATGAGTTTAAATGATTGTTTCAAGTTTCACAGTATCAAAAAAGGGTTAATTATGTCTTGGAGGGCTTTTAATACAAGGCAGATAATGAAAATGAATCAAGATGAAAGGAAAAGCAGGTGGTACACGCTTCCAATATTTTCTGTTATGTTTTAGAGATTAAGTACAAAAACTCAATTTTCACAAGAAAGGTAAAGTAAAGCAAGTCTGACAGCACTTCTTGAGTTTATGCTTCATTAAAAAAAGCTACATAATTGGAAATGGCACATCCTGAAAGCTGCACATTTCCCTCCATTACGTGAGCTGCAACAAGTGATCCACTTCAGTGGATGAGACCACTGACCATGCCCAAGGGATAATTTACCAAGTAACACATTTCTTCCCACTGTTTTATTTTCCATCAGCTCTTTTTTGCTCAAGTAATGGTGGTGTTGCAATGCTTTCTGGAATTAGATTTGCATAAGCAAGGCAGTTGTGACTGAGGAAGTTTACTGCCAATTAATGTAAACTTTTAATTACAGAACCAGATTTTGAGGAAAAAAGAACACAAGTTAAAGAAGCACTTAGGGGAGTACCATCTCACTTCAGTCCAGTGCTTCTCCCCCCTGCTCCTACTCAGCTCCATCAGTTTTCACTGGGCATGATGGTGAAATGCTCACAGAGCCCCAGGTTACAAAGCACCAGTCTGTGCCTCAAGTGACAGAGATGTTAACCATGGTATATGCACAAATGGAGAATCTTCTGCATTTCATTACAAGGGAAAATGCTTCAGATCCTATCAGAGGATCACTGCAAAGCCACCATCGTGTCTGCATTTCCTTAGGGAGCCTCTTAAGCTTCCCCATTCCTGTGTATTTCCACTGTTTAACCAGTGGTAAGTGAAAAAAATGGGGCTGGTGGAGAGTTCCACTGTTCTCTGTCCAAAGCTCGAGAGGAATGTCTGTTCAGCTGCTGGTGCTTGCTCCATCAGGCAGCCACCACCACTGAGAAAAGGAGAGGTTGCAAAAGGATGAGTCCTCTGCATTTGAGTTTGCATCTCTCTGCCCAAGACTCAGATGTCACATCAGCAGATTCTCCAGGGTGATGGGCATTTCAGGATTTTAATTTCAACTGAGAGAGTCAAGTGTGTCAAGAATAACTTCTGTGGAAATAAAGACCTTTCTAGTGTTTTTTTCTTCACTTCTTCCAAATTCAAGGAACTAGGGCCATTGATGCTTCCTATTTCAAGTGACTGATGAAGTGAATCATGTCTTCGTTGGTAAAAAGAAATATGAATTACAACCTCTTTACCAGAAGAGGATCCCAAACATATTCATCTGAGTGGCATCCATACGTGAACTCAAAAACGGATTTGTTTTTAAAACCAGTCTAAGGCTGAAGATAAAGTCTACATTCCCATAATCTAAGAAGTCATTGGTTTAATAATTTCAAAGTGATTTTTTAAATAAATTGTCTTAGATCTATTTAGAAAAATTCACTTTAAATACCAAAAGCTGCTAAATTTTAACCTGTTAATAAATACCTTTACAATGAACATTTGTAGAATAAACTGCCAAATTTATATGGAATAAAGATCATATTTAGTACTGAATAAATTACTTGGGCAGAGGAAACAGTTCACTAAAAAATACAGAGGCTGAGATATATATGAGTCTTCCTTCACAGGCATTGAAACACATGTATCAAGTATTCTAAGACTAGATATTATTATGCATCTGCCAAAGCAAGACACATTTATATGAAATTATTTTTACCAAGAGATGAACTGCTTTAAGTGTTTGTAGCTTGACTTCAAAACTCAGCTCTCACAGAAACTCAGTATTATTTCTAGATGAAATACTGAATTCTTATTAAACCTGAGGTTGCTCTTTTATCTTGTGATGACCATTGTGATTTTAATTGCTGAGCTAAAAAGTTAAAAGCACACATTTTATCCTGCTACTCTGAAAATACTTCTTTTTTACCACACACTCAAGCAATGTTACCTATTATAAACAGTAACCAGTACATTCTTTCCCTTTCCCTAAGAATCACAAAAACAATGAAATATGCAACTATTATTAGAAAAAATAACATATATTATCATATTACCTCCTCTAAATCTACAATTATTAACTAATTAATTATACAGTATTTGAAAGAAAGAAACAGCCGATACTCATTTCTGGCATAAAGGTATCATAAAAACCTTAATTTTATTTTTTTTTTTCCAATTTTATTAAAATTGGCTTTAATTTAGCAAACAGGTTTATCTTTCACTACTATTTCTTACTCTTCTGTCGTTCTGTCCTTCACTATTTCTAACACTGCATTTCTATTTCTTTTCCATAAAGCGTTTTCATTTCATTTCCTCTCCCATTATAGAAAGTATGGCGATTACATAGTTATCTGCTAGGATTAATATATGGGGCCAAAATGGCAGGCACAAACAGCAAAGTGACAAAATTATACTAAGTGATTTCTTTACAAAAGCAATTTTCCTTTTACTTTCTCTGAGGCACATTGTAATTCAATTGCTCTTTCACATTCTTCACAGTATTTGGAAATAAAGGCCTCAGAAGTTGTTTGCTTTCCTGTATAGCCTAGAAATGCTATGAAAATACTGTAACATGTATTTTAGGTAACATAACCAGACCTCCCTGCCCTTGAGAACAGAAGTTCACAAAGCACATAAGCAACTACACAATATAAAAGATGAGTTTTATTATAGATATGTTTCCAGATCCTATTTTCTGCTTTCATGAAAACAGCCTTGGAAAATAAAGTAGTTTGGGTTGAAGATAAAAACTCTCTTGGCAAGTCACAGCAGGAAGCAGGAGAGGGTAAGCACTTGATACTCAAGTAAACAGCAATCACAGAATAAAGCTCTGGGGTCTGCTGCACTATCAACCAGCTCATAAGGCACAAAAGGAAGGCTTTTATCTTACTGATCATACAAACTAGGGATTCATTCCCAGAAAAAAAGGACACAGTAACATAAGAGTAACCAAAATAATATGAGAACTCATCAAGCACACCAAGACTGATAAATTAGGAATTGAGCACATCTCTTTTATTGCCATGCTACGATTATCTATGATGCACTTGCCTCCAATTTAGAGAGCAGAAAAGAAAATCCAGCAGCCTGACTTTTAGAAAGAGAAAGGTGCATCTATTCAAGCAGGCAGTCAGTAATTGCACAGTGAACCTGAGAACAATGATTCAATTGTGATAAATTAGAGGTTGGAAGCAAGTGAGGAATTAAGTTGTATGCATTTTGAATTTGCATGCATAGAGGAACTACAGCAGAGCCAGTCAAGAATACTAAACAAGAAATTAATTTCTGGAGCATGTGTAACAGAATTAAAAACTTTTTAAATGGGTAGATACATGTCCATTTCAACATAACATCCATACTAAAAGAACTCTTCCCCCCTCAGTCTAGCCAAGTCGTGCCAAGTTGTGTTACCAACTTCCTCTGTCAATGGCTCCTAATGAACTACAGTAAGAAATAATTTCATACTTGTCAATTACTATAAATACAAAAGTGGCATTTAAGAAACAGCCCTGTTCAAGGACGATGTGGGATAGTACTGAGTTACAGGATGCATGAAGAAATTACTATGCTTTGACTAGAATAAGACTGTTCCATTCCACAGCACACTCACAGCCTCCT